GTCTAAATGGCACTTCCAGTTTTCATCAGTTGTCAAAATTCGATTGTGCACTCGTTCTCTTCCAATTTCCTTACCAAGAATTTTCACTGTTTCTATCTTTTAAATTCCTGCAACACTTTTTTGTAATTTTAGTGAACATAACTGATGTGTTTGCATTTGAAAACAAGGAACGGAATGGTGATATCCGTGTGAACAAGATCAAACGAGGCTGGGATCGTTTTGACTGGGTGGTCGAGTTCGCACGCCAGGGCATCGGCGTAGCTGATAACGATGCATGGGCGATTACCGAATTCAACAAAGATTACAAAGTATTTTTTTTTTTTTAATTTTTTCACTCACTCTTCATTTGCTTTAAATGCTGTAACATTTCGGGATGCCTAGCTGCGAAAGCATTTTGCCAAGAATGTCTTAATTAATCTTTGTCAGAGCTTCGAAGGTGATCAGCTACCGCACTAGTTCTGATTGAAATGATACCAACTAGCGTTCTGTCGGCGGTAAATACACCTTGACGAGTAGCTTCAGTGCAAAAAATCGTTAACTTATCGCTAGATCTTACTGGAGTGATACTATCCGGTGTCCTAGCAGGTCCAAACATGTTTTTGCATCCAGATTTTTGGACTTTCAAATTCCACGATTGACCTATGGTATATCTTTGATATTTTGAAAATCACTGGGAAAAAACTTGGGTAATTATTAGTAGCTATGCTGAGTGGTCATAGAATTACAAAAAATTTAGTATTTCTCTCGACAAAAGATCAGAAATGGGACAAAGCTATGGATCATCTTGGCTGAATTTGCAGCACTGCGATGGTTTTTTCATCCGTTGATTTCTGAGTTTTGATGGAAATATCATCACTGCGTGTGTTATTTCATTTCAGTACTGTGATACTTATCCGGAGATTCTGTGTGTCCCATCGGCAGCATTCATCCAAACACTGATAGGATCATGTAGATTTCGAAGTCGAGCACGCCTTCCAGTGCTAACCTATTGGCATCGAGCAAATGCAGCATGCATCTCAAGGTTTGCTTTTTTTTGTGGGATTCTTTTTTTCTTGTTCGATCTAAATGACTTATGTGCAAATTTTCTTTTTTTTCCAGGTGTGCTCAGCCGCTGACGGGTTTTAGCGCACGTTGTATCGAAGATGAATCTCTGATGGGTTTAATTGCAAAAACAAATCCATCCTGTTCAACACTTTATTTGATTGATACACGATCGCGGGTTTGTTCTTGTTTTTTTCCTAAATCGTTGATAGGGGAAGGAGGAAAGGAAGCGGGGAAGGGGTGAGGGGGGGGGGGCAGAAGGGAGGAAAGGGGAAGGAGACGCCTCAATTTGCTGCACCTGCAGCAGTGAGCTTTCTTAGTCTTGAGTTGTCGGCTTTTTGTTCTTGTCCTTTATCCTCATGGTTCACACTATGGGTATTGGAGGAACTATAATAAAGTGCTTGAATTATTTCTATGAATTTTATTGAAATTTCTTTCCTATTTTCATAATATTCATGACGGTAGTGGTGTTTTTCCAGGTGAATGCTATGGTTAATAAAATGCAAGGCAAAGGATTTGAAGATGTACGAAATTATTCAAATTTGCGTTTCCACTTCTTTGATATTGATAATATTCACGTTATGAGGTCCAGCTTAAATAAACTGCTGGATGGTAAGTGAATTTTTGTAATTTATAGAGTTATTATTATGAAAACAAGCCTTGAATCACAAAAATCGTTAAATGAAATCTATTATTGACATTTATTTCTCGGGACATAGGGGTTTTCGCCTGACTTACGTGTGGTACTAAGAGATGAAGGTCCCAGTGTAACTGGCCTAGTTTAAAGGATGAAGGAAATGAAATTATAATGAGTTAATTTTGCCTTTGGCTCATTAATTTCGTATATGCTTTGACTCAGTATCAAAGCAGGGCCTGAGAGGAAGGAGTTTATAGTGAAAGTAGAGTAAAAACGGTGGAAATAGTATAAAAAGGCATCTAGGCATAAGCAGTTGTGGACAAGTGAAAAATGAAGACGTAGTCGGAAGAGGGGAGTGGAGGAAAAAGAGGTTGAGGAACTGCTTTGGTAGTTCTAACTTGTTCCCAAAAATCCCTTCAAAAAAGCAATTTCATCTATGCAGCTAGCAATTTTACCAGTTACTTTGACCAGTGCTGTTTCGCCTAGTGGTCAGTGTGCTGGCCATTGTGAAATTTTTTTCGTTTTTCGAAGGAATTTTTGGGGACAAATCGTTGAAGCCATTGAGGTTGTATGAAATGCACTTCATATTCAACAAAAAGAAAATGACCGGTATTTTAGCATGCCAAAGGACAAAAACAATTTCGGATTACTACAAACAGTTGGAAGCATCCGGTTGGTTGAAGCATATTCGTGCGCTACTGGAATGTGGTGATTTTTTGGCAAGTTCTGTTGCTCGAGGAATCTCTTGTGTTGTACATTGCTCGGATGGATGGGATCGTACAGCGCAATCAGTCAGCATTGCACAGCTTCTTTTGGACCCATTTTTCCGAACTGTCAGGGGCTTTCAGGTAGGCATTTTGACAGGTTTTGAATTTTTAAAGATTTGTGTTACATCTTTGCATGTTTTAGTACATTATTTCAGACGGGGAACCGTAGTATCGCCACTAACATGAGATACCCACACTGTTAGCATTCATGTAGGGAAGAGGATTCTGCGTCAGCAATTGGACGCAGTTTATTTGGGAAAAAAGTCACCTTTTAAGTTGTACAGTTTTTTTATATACCTTATCTGAGGTTGATTACCAGTTTCTTGAAAAAGTTGGTAGTTGCAGAGGCTGAGAAATTGCCTATGCAAATGCAAACTTTTTTAGTTGCTTCATCCAATGCCGCTTAATTTCAGCTTGCTAGCAATTCTGACATTCGCCTCATTCCCTGAAAAGAGACTAGCGGCTGGGGGCGATTCTCGCAGCAGTAGCACTTAGCCATTTTGAGTTATCCTTGATGTGTATTGAGCATTCTTTCTTGACTTGATTGTTGCTTGATAAGGCACTTTGCCGACTAGGCCTTTGAGTTTTTATTGCGACATATTTAAAATTTTTAACGTTTTATATCACACCCTCTTTAGTTTTCTCACTTTTTTTTTTTAACTTTTTAAGCATTGCAGATTTTAATCGAAAAGGACTGGCTTGGTTTTGGGCATAAATTTGATGATCGATGCGCTCATGTGGGTGCTTTCAATGAAGAAGCAGCAAGAGAGGTAGTTTGAACTTCGTAGTTTTCTCTCTCAGTTTGAAAAAAGTGCTATTTCGCCATTTTAGTGAGCGATACAGCCAGTCCTGTTTTGTTTTACTCAGTTCTGAACTCGCTTCAATCATCCAGTTCTGTATGGCCGTATAAAGTGGATTCTTTAACCTCGCTGTAGTTCTTCTGAGCGTTCTTTATCGTAAAGATGTAAGAAAAAGACTTAAAGATTGTCATTTGCTTTATAAAAGCACCGAATGAACTGATTACAAAAACTTGATCTTTATCAGCTGCAATCTCTGAAAAAAAAAATCGTATTAACTTTATGTTTTTGGTAGTTAGAAGTAAACCGATTGTAGCATCCGGGTTGATCCTGGAGGCGTAATTGACGAAGCGCGATAAAATACAAAAAGAAAGAGCAGTATGAGAAAAGAAGGCAAGAGTGAGGCAAGACGTTTCGGTTCATTAAGTCATGTGCGTCTTAACACCGCGGCTAGACCTCGTCTGTATGACAGTGCTTAATGAGGAAAAGAGTAACTTCCATGAATGTCGTAATGTCCGTCGCTCTTTATTCGATAGATGTGTAATACCATTCCAAATATTTAGTATTTACACTCATTTTTCAGGTGTCACCAGTTTTTACGCAGTTTCTGGATGCTACTTATCAAATCACCAGGCAATATCCACGAGCATTCGAATTCAACGAGCGATATTTGATTGAAATGAATGAGCATGCTTATTCCTGTCAGTATGGCACTTTTTTGGGTAACTGTGACAAAGATCGAAAGGTTGGCTTCTCGTCCTGGTTTATTCTAAATAGCAGCTACTGCACTGTTGTATTACAGTACATTGCGGGTAGGAGGCTGTACTGATTATTCCTGCACCTACCCGCACGCAAAGTTACTTACACATGACACAATCCAGTTTCTTTGTTTTACTATTTCCTCCTGTACACATCAGCTGAATCAGTAATTTTTGATTTTAAAATTTTGCGTGGGGGAAATTCCGGAAATAGCTACAGTGTTCCTTTAGCTACTCAGTTCCTTGTGATCAGCTGCTTTTTGGCTTTGAAAATGTTAATTTTTTTTTTTAATTTTAGGATCTCAATTTAGCAAAACGAACTCAATCTTTGTGGGCTTTCATGGATGATCGTCATGATGATTACATTAATCCATTGTATGAAGTCAGTTATCTTTCTTTCCATTGTTTCACTAAGGGAGAGATGCGGGGAGATGGTGTAAAGGAGGTTGGTTACTGATGATGGATGTACTAATGTGAGGATGTAATGGCTAATTTTTTTTCAGCCAAATAAATATGGTTATTTGGAAAAGATTGATTTGCATCCTTCAGTGTTTGCTGTCTGGATAGCACTGTACAATCGTTTCGACATGGGTCTCCTGCCGAGGGAGAATACCAACGATGTGACCATCACAACACTGGAACATATTGGTGTCCTTGAAGCTCATTTAGCTTCACTTCAAACAGTTAGTTTTTTACTGAATTTTGACCTTTGAATTACGAATACACTGTTCAGATACTTCAGTCCGAATGCAGAAATGCCTCCTGATAATCCTCTCTTGATTTGCATGTCTCCAGTTTGTATCCATCGTCTGCAGGGCTTGCTTATGCTTTTTTATTGGATACTCTCCACTGGTATCTATCAGATCTTCAGTAAATTCACTCACTGGGTCTTACTTTTTCCCGTATGAGCATTTTGTTTCGGCTCAAATGCGTAGAAAACGCAGTGAAACGGAGATGTGTGGCTTAGGATTGAAGAATTAGCATCCCAGTAACCAGTAAGAATTACCATCCCAGTAGCCGGATATATGAAAACATCCCAGTAGCATCACTGACTTGAGTCCGTACTTCGCCTGTTCCGTATTTTCCACAGTTTGGACTGGCCGTTACTTCAGTAACTATGGTTCGGCCTACCAGTGGCCGAAAAAAATTTATTGTCAATTTAACCCACTTCGGCCATCCCACTTGGACTGCCCATCGAATGGTCGTTACTTATCATTCCTGTACCAAATGTTCGGGTGAACTTGGTGATGTTACAGAATTAGAAGGAATATTTCTGTTGCAGGGGATCTAACGTAGCTGCAGATGGACTTTTTACTTCATTTTACCTAACAGCGAAAGCTCTGCACTGGTAGTTTGGAGGTTATTAGCTACACAAGTATTGCACAGTTGCAGTACGATGAAAGATTGCCGTTTTCAGAAGTATATTTTTTTTGCAGAAGCTGGCGGAGCTCAAAATTTTGGCCGGAAAACAAACACCGGGAAGTGAAGCGATGGCCGATAGTGGGCATTCCAGTAGCATTTCTAGCGGTATCACAGCATCTGCTTGTAAAATATCAGGTTACTGCAGACTTGAAAATTTTGTAATTAGTTTCTGGTTTATAGCATTATAAACCTATCAAACTGTAGAGGATTATATTTTTAGGTACTTTTTGTTCTTCATAATTGTGGTCCCCCCTGGTTTTCGCCTCCCACCTCAAGCTTCTCCCTCCTCCGCTCTCACTGCTTCTTACCCCGTGTTGCTTTTTCGCTTAAAATTGAGCTTGTGGCGAGTTTCCCCGTAAAAAAAGTTAGGGTTTTCAGAGTCACAAAAAGCAGTAAATACAGGACCTGTGCAGGACCTGTGCTAATTTTTAGCAGCCAGAAATTCCAGAAAAATCATCTCATTTTTCCGTTGTGAATGGAAAACGGAAATTTTCGAGACTTCGCGAGCGGTCGCACTTTGCTGTCGGGATGCGTGTATTTGTCTGTGAAGAATTTTTGTATTTTAAAATGCGATTTTCAGATGTAATTGCACCGGCAAATGATGGTGCGACTGAGGGAAAAAGTGAGAAGCAGCTATGGGATGAGCTGGAAAGGGAAGATACTGTGGAAAGTGGCATATACGATGCATCATTCCCCTTTAGCGTACGCCTTCTGTTCTTTAGCATTTTTTTTAAACGCTAGTTTTTTGTTTTTTCCAAAACTCGATTGAATTTTTGAAATAGCATGAATAATCAGCTGCAGTTCGTAGTCTGATCCTCCAGCTGTCCATCCACTCTGACCATCGCCGAATGGTTAGCTTGCTGGCAATCCTGATGTTTGGTTTTCTCCTGCATTTGTCACTGGTTTCCCAGCAGAAGCACTTAGTAAGACTTAGCCGTCTTTGAGATGTCATTGGTATTTGTTGAGCATCACAACCTTGATTAAAGAGTTGCCTTTTTTAGACCGTGGTGAGGCACCGAATTTTGGAAGATTAGTTGTTATTGAAAAATTGCTTTTCAAAAACTTGTTAAGAGCCCTGCGAAATTTTAATTATGACACTACGCAACAGAACTTTAGTTACGGTTTGTTAGTTTTCGTCGTCTTCTTCTTCTGATAGGAAAAGGGAC